AATAGAGCAAGATATATTTCGCGTTCCTGGAGAATCCCGACGGAATGCTAAACAAATTCGCGAAGTAATTTCTCTCATAACACGATCGTACAAAATACAAATAAATATCGTTAGGGCGTTAAAGTTGGCAGTTACGAAATATTCGATAAAAATAGACGATACGTGTAGCGATCCGCAACACAGCAAGCTTCGACTCGCAGAATCGTTAGATTACCAGAATGTTCTATAATGACTGCTCGCTTATCGATTATCTCAAGAAATTGGGATCTGTCGCTGTGATAGTCTTAGGTTAGCCCGGAAACGAATTTGTGAGGTTATAAAATACTGGTAAGATTACGAAACTACAAGAGGTTATGAAAGGTGAATTACCACTGTGTCAAATGTGTCTTGCCGATTGAAATACATACGCGGATAATTTATACGAAAAGAAAAAGTTACGAGAGACTCACGTGAATATAAAAACAAGCACACAAACATTCCTCTCGAAAGCGTCGCGCTGGCCGAAGGACAAATGACCGAGCGAACAATTGCATACGTATGTGGATGAGCAGCGCGTCTGTAGGTGTTATTTCGAGAGATCGAACAGATTGAGAAGTGTCGCGCGTGATTCTCGATTGTTGGAATCGTTCAGCGCGCACGTCAGTTGCACAGAGTTATTTCGCGTGTGCGGTCTCTGTGTCGTGTATGTGTCTATGATTAGTGTGTCATGCATCATCTTGAGCGGTGCAGCGATTTAAAATCTTAAAGAGGTAATCGCAGCTTTCCGTTTCGGTTAGTTTAACAGAGAAATACATATACGGTGTGACAAAAACCGTTGTATTCTCGACACAGTGGCGTCTATCGTTTAGGAATCGTTTTAGGAAATGTGCGTTGTGTTTCAGATTTTGCAAAATTAGCAGAGCGATCGCATCGAGCAGGCAGCGATAGTTCCTGCGAAGGAGAATGTATGAAAGAATCCGGAGCGGAACGAGCAGAGTCGATTCTCAGGTAAGGTTAGGTTAGGCTAGGTTAGGTTAGGTTTATGGGCTTTGCGCGCACATTTGTGGAAAAATAGTAATGTATAGATAAAAAATATATGTGGACGCGCGCATTGTATTATGATAATATTCATCGATACTTTAAGGATTAAATCGGCCAAGTAAAAGTTCGAGCTTACATCGGTGATCGGTGGCCGCGTTTTTAAAGCGATATTTCGCCGCGCACACGGTGGACATTTCCTTCGATATTCTCTCGGCAAAACCTCAAAAAGAGGGAGGGAAACATTTTTTCCCATAGCCGTGAATCCATCTCAAAACAGAGGAAAAAATGTGAATAAGCAGCGTCGTTTGTTCGTTACGTTTATTTCAATACGCGTAATTGTAGCGAAGGCTCGAAGTAAATAGCGGTTACGAGTTTGTCATCTCTAGACGTCGACTGAATTTTTATAATACTCATTCAGATGGAAACGAAAGTATCTCCGAGAGTTGTGTAAACATCGGGCGATTCGATCCCTACGAACAATTACGAAGTGTATTCTGTGTGTAATTAATAATATATCTTTATACGTAATTTCATTTTGGTTCATTGCACATTTGCATTTGTCACGTAATTCTTTGATGTGACATTTCGGTCTAACGTAAGAGTAACTCGGCGTTTCTAGGTCAAATGCCGTAATTTTATATTTATTTTGTCTGTACTTGATATCAGTGAAAAAAGATGTCCACTTTTGCCGTCGTCAAAACTATCGCGATTCGTTCGAAGTGTCAGACACATTCTCTCGCGCTCTTATGGAAACATTTCCATTAGATATTTTATTCTGTGTCGTTTGATCTAAAGTACCATTTTTTCACGATTTTAGTTGAAGATAATTCAAAATGAATTAAGATTTAAACAAATTAACAATTAGAGGGAAATGAGGGTCATAATGATAAGAATGTCGTACTTCTTGATAAGTCCAAAGTGCAGTTATTTGTATAAACTTTCAATCTGAAGGCGTAGTTGGTTGTTCGGATACCAAAGATTACAAATTTATAAAATATATAAAATACTATTGTCATAAAAAAGAAAAAATTGCAACTACGTGTGAAAAACTTGTCAAGGGGAGATTGAATAAAAATGGATTACGAAATTATGGATGTAAGGTAGCGAGAGATGAATATGGAACATCCTGTATATATCCAGCTTTTATCGAACTCTTCTCATCCCCTTTGTTCTGAAAATTTCATCGATACTGTGTCATGGTAATATTCTGCTGATAAAATAAGAATATCGCAAAAATTTCTTTATCAAGAATAATAAGAGAGTAAGAGAATAAGAAAAAAAAAACAAAATATCTGAAAATTGTTTTTTTCTATGAGTAAATAAAAGCACTGGTTGCATTTTTCAAATAAGCGTTTTGCGAAGGATATAATTCGGAGACGTTTGCCGTAACAGTTATCTCGTCCAGGAAGAGAAAGGGAAACTTCTCGTCATTCGACGACAGACATTCGACGTGAGAAATTCAGTCGACGAAATTCCGCGGCGAGATAAGAAACACCTGCGGCCAAAAATATTTCAACACCGATGATGCGAGTTGCGAGATTCTTTCAAAATTACGTATCTTCGCTGTCTCGTATCTTTCGCGTATGCTCCATTTACGACGGTTACCCCGAAACTAACCAGATCCTTATTAGTCACGGTTCACATTTATCGACAACAGATATCAATATTTAAGATAACCTTATTAATAATTTTACAAAAATAAATGGTTATGTAAGCTTGACAAATAGGTTGTGGAGGAAGGATTTTTCATTATCATCGTGGAGAAAATTTAAACAGGTATCTTTGAAACTATTTGAGTTATTAGAAAAGTTTCGCCGTAAAACTTTGCATCCCACGCAACAATAAATAAGACCGTCCAGAAGCGTCTATTTTCGCGCATGTATGCGCGTGTCTATTGCTATATGCTCGCATCAATTGACGAAAACAAAGTACGCGTCGAAACGTCAAGTATCAGATATACGGCCCAATCGTTGAAGCATTTAGAATATCTCGATTAAAAAGTATCGATTCGAGTAAGGAGCGTTACTGCGGGAATACCCGGGCGTGTTCAGCCAGGAGGGATAATATCGTTATACTCATGGCATGTTGTACTCATCAGAATGACGTAAATAAAATTCATATGAACACGCGCCATGAAACGCGCGTCCCATCCGAGTTACAGGCACTTTTAGTTTTGGCGCTGACCTCACGTCAGCCTGCCGACAAGACATGTTTGTTGACAGCATCAAAATTGTGCAAATGTAATGCGCGAGCTTCCCCGCGTTACGGCCACTTTCAGCTTTGGTTCTGACACATCAGGAAATTTTGAGCGCGCCGGACTTTCCACGGAACCGTCCGGCTTCGCGACGCATTGATGCGCGCGCGAAGAATCCACATTCTGAACATCGCTTATAAAAAACACGAAAAAGAGAACTATCCTCGCTTTCGCACTCGCTATCGATTCGTCAGATTCGAATAGTCCAAATTAGTTGCAAATTTTCATGTGGACTCTACAAAATGCTCGGTCTAGCTCGCCATCAGAAGCCGTAAGTTGCTCCTTAGTCAGTTGATCGCTTCATTTATCCGTAACTTGACATTCGCAATGATAGCCTGAAAGACACAGCGCGTTGCTTTCAAGTCGAGACGCGCGGCGAGTCTCTTGCCTCCTGCAAAGATGTAAACAACGCACTGTTTTCCCCGATGACTCTCCGGAGACTCAACGAGAGCGCCGAACCCCGCTGGTTCAGCGCGATCGTCCCTCGAGAGTCTCGAGTGTCGTCGGCTGAAACACCAAACAATCGCGTTATCGAAATTTTGGCGAGGAGAGGATGTAAGATCGCCCTCCCCCCCCCATCTTCGCCCACCCCCGAAACACAGCGCGCCTTTCCGGGCGATCATTACGGGCTTACACCCCGTAGTGTAACTCGCCGAGGCCCGCTCCTATGCGGAAGAGATCTCGCGCGTCGCGCGGCCGTCATCGCGCGCGGCGCTCTTTCCATTTCCTCCCCGTTTTATTCCGTAGCGTAGCCTACTACTACTCTACGGGTAGCGCGCGCGCGAGCACGTCGCATGCGGGTGCATGTGCCGTTGCTGGATGTAACGCTTGCGCAGTCGTCGAGCATCGCCAGACAGCTCGCCGCGACGGGTGCATCTCGCGGCAGTTCGCGATCGTCTTCTAAGGCAGACTCATTAGTCGCTCCAGCATCCGGCCGCGACACACATCTTTTCATACACGTTGCTTCTCTCTCCCTCTCTCCCTCCCTCTCTCTCTCTCTCTCTCTCTCTCTCCCCGTCACATCTCGCTCACGCAACGATCCGTTCCCCTGTCTCCCCATTTCCCAGCCCCTCTCCCCCGACGAATCGTTCGATCCGCTTTCACCCTTTCGATCCTGCCCCTCGATCCCCCTTTGATATCTTCCTGGACGCGCGTCTTCAATTCCGGAGGATGGTGTCGACTTGACCGTCGGTACCACCGGCACACGTGCGAGTTGTTCTCGGCTGGGCCCACGCGTGTTCCTCAGCTTCCGGTTGCGTATGCACCGCGTGATCCCCGCGAGATCAATGTCGGCTTCGATGGTAGCTCGTTGCTCTTGTCATCCGGCGTTCTTCCGGTAGCCGGTGGTCGCGCCGGAAGTCGCGGCGTCCCACCGGCGAAACGCAGTCCTTGACGATCGAGCAACCGATCTCGAGATCTCCCGCACAGGAAGCCTGCCACCAGCAAATTCCATCAGTCGCGCGGCAAGTGCGTAACTCTCGAATACCCGGTGGAAGTCGACGAGATCTCAGCGAAGCGTCTTCCGGCGATCCGGGCGCGCATGGGAAGGTCGCGTAGGCGCGGGGTCGACGACCACGATACACCAGCAGCAGCAGCAGCAGCAGCAGCAGCAGCAGCAGCAGCAGCAGCAGCAGCAAGCAGCGGCGGCGGCAGCAGCGGCAGCAGCAGCGGCAGCGGCGGCGGCGGCGGCGGTAGCGGCGGAGGCGGCACAGCGGTGGTAGCGGCGGAGGCGGCACAGCGGCGGTAGAGACGGCAGCGAGGAAAAAGAGGAGGAGGAGGAACAGCACGACGGAGGAGGCGACGACGGCACGCTGTTACGTTAGCGTTTCGGCTAATGGTCGAAACGTCGATCCGTCACTTCACCACGCTCAATTTACCGATGCTGCAGCCACCGTCTCCCCTCTTGGAGATGGCGTCCCTGCGTTTACCGGACTCGGACGAGTTCGACGTTGACACGCGTCGCAGGAGCAACAACGGCAACGTGCCGGCTACGACGACCGTCGCCGCGAGTGCGCCGCCGCCCGGTACCGGTACCCTGCTGCAGATGAAGAGCGATTTCGGCGACTACCTCCACAACATCATCACAGAGGCGATCTCGACGAGCCCGCGCGGCGCGATGGAGGACGGCCAGGTTCACGGGCTGTTCAACGCCAGCAAGACGACGAATCTGACGGCGATCGAGCAGGCGCCCGACCGGCTCTACCGGCACAGCATGGCCATGTCGGCGGTCTACTGCGTGGCCTACGTGATCGTATTCGTGGTCGGTCTGATCGGCAACAGCTTCGTCATCGCCGTGGTGTACCGGTCACCCCGTATGCGGACCGTCACGAACTTCTTCATCGTCAATCTCGCGGTCGCCGACGTGCTCGTCATCGTTTTCTGCCTGCCGGCCACGTTGATGAGCAACATCTTCGTCCGTGAGTACCGATGCTGATTTCCATCGAGCGTTTCGTCTCCAGCGGCTCTCCTCGCGCGCCTCGCCGATTGCTTCCGCGCCAATAATTTCGCGCCGGTTAGTCGACAGAAGTTTATTTAGGACGATGAGGAGAAATCACCCGCGCGCGCGCGCGCGCGCGTGTCTCTCTTCCGGGTGTTCCCCGGATTTGGCCCTTCGGGCTTGCCGGTGTTTTCAGAGCCGCGTTCTCCGTCGTGAATATCTCCTCATTGTCCAATCAGTTGGATTTGATTGGCTGCTCGCGGTAGTTCGCGAATCATTTTCCGCGCGAGAAACTTTCTCCTGGGACGTAACGGAAATATTTATTAGCCGCTGCCGCTGCCGCCGCCGCCACTCGGTCAGTTCGAGTGGCGCCCTATTCGAAAAAGGGAAGATTCTCTCAAGGGCGACCGCGAACGGCCATGGGGACGCGTGCATTCCGTGTGTGCAGGCTGATTCGCGCGCGGTACGTTGCGGGGTTTCCTGCCATTGTAACCCCCTTTCCAGGTCGAGCGACAGGGGGCTGCTGCTGGGCCAGAGGGGAAGGTGGTGCATTCCCTTCGTATTACCGAATCGATCCCTTTGCGTCTCCCCCCGTCGCTATTCGCACCCGGAGCGGCGCTCGGTCGCGCTCTATCCAATTCTCAGCGGAGTCGACAGCCGGTTCGCGAGCGCGATTAACCCTTAAAATTCCTGACCCACTCTGTGAAGCGTAACGATGCATTTCTTTTCTTCTTCTTCTTCTTCTTCTTCTTCTTCTTCTTCTTCTTTTCCTTTTGATCGGTGCTGTTGGCGTATAATCACGCGTACCACGGTAGCCGACCGCATCGGGAGCAAGCGCAGTATCGATTATACGAGTACAATTAACATAATTAACATAATTAACAATGTTTGATTAACATAATCAATTATATTAATTATGATAATTATTTAACTTCACGTGAAATTATCACGGAGTATTATGCAGCCTCTCCGACGATTTCGGTGGGATCCAAGTTTGAAGAAACAACACGCGCGTGTATATTTCGCGTCGGGGCTTCAGGAGGGGATTGATCAACCCTTTCGGCTGGCGACGACGGCCGGCGAATTAGGGGAGGGGAAGAGCCACGGTGGGAGCTGTACAGGCGAATCGCATGCAAATTTAGACATTACGTCGAACGTTATCGGCAATGACGATAATTCATCGGACTCACGTCCGACCCGCGAGGCGGCAAGGCAAACAGCCGGCATACTTGCGACACCGATCGCAATTTGCGCAAACAAACGGCATATTTGCATTTCCACGGGCGGAATCACGCGGTTGGCACGGCGCTCGCGCCGAAGAAAAAACACGCGCTTTGGCTCTCTTTAGAAAATCAGCGGCTCGTAACTCGGCTCCGCGATAAGAGTCCGCGAAACGCAGCCGCGTAGCGTATGTTACCGGCTCGCTTACGAGAGCATCCAATTAACCCGCGAATAATCGCGCTGCGAGCGGCGCGCTGCGCTCACGTGAAAACTCGCTCGCTGCCTCGAGCGTCTCGTCGACGCGGTACGGTTAATTTTTCGTAAGGATGCGATGGATATTAGGCGATGACCTTCTCTTTTCTCGCGACGCGACAATCGCAGTTTGTGAAATCGGTAACGACGCTCTCGTGACCATTTAAATTCACGTCTCACGAAGCTCTGCGCGGCACGCGCGCATTCATGCGCGGGTCTTCAAATCCGCTCCGGACGGTCTATAACGAAGCTCCGGCTCGTGTGACGGATTCTTCTCATTTCAATCCCAAACTAGCGGCGGATAGAATTCTCTCTTTGAAATTTTACGCGACGTGCCGTAATGCCGGGAACGTTTGAGGATTTACAGATGTGCACGCACGTACGTGTACACATGCGCGCGGCACAAGTGTAATTTGGATTCCTCCAGTGTTTTCCGACGGATAACACTAATTCAACCCTGAATCCCCCCCCCCCCTCCACCCGTATAGATTACATAGTCCGAATTGCTGCTTTTTAGCGGGTTCATAGCGATCGAGCGGGAATCTAGCGCGTTAATTAACGGCACGTTATTGAGTCGCGATCGCGCTAATCCCGCTAATAATTCCATGTGGTCCCGCGTACGACCCATATGCTTCGTGAGTTTCGTAATTTCGCGATGGATCGGGACAAGTAGCTACCGCTATACACGCAGGATCGTGCTTGTATCTTTGCGAGGAAAATCCGCGGTGGATTGTTACACGGAAACGTAAAGATCCTACATTGGTCGCATGCACGATTCGCGACGACCGCGGCGTTGTATCGTATCGTCCTTTTTCTACTAGAAATACGCTTGACCATTATCTCTCCTCCTTCTCTTGACCCGTTAATTCTTCTCGCTATTTCTTCGACCTTGTGCTTCGAAATTCGCCGCAAGTTCATCTCTAGCGGTATCGATTACCGCGTCTTGCGACTTCAAGTGGCTTCGCGTTCTCTTTTACCTTTAGTGCGTAGTTAAAGCCAGAAATATTCAACCCGTACGTTTTGCAATTTTAATTTATACGAACGCGTGTCACGCGCGCACACACATACACACGAGACAAGCGAGCGGGCCGATCAACCACGTGCTCGCTCTCCGGACTAGGAATTGGCGATTTTAGAAAGGAAAGCGATTTTGCTTAAGGCGGTTTGATGAAAAGATCGGACTAAAAGAATCAATCTCCTAAATATCGATTGCGAAAAATCGTATACACCCAAACGTTTTTCTCACATTTTTACAAGTTCAATATGTCTAAAAAGTCTAATGTGAATTATAAAAATTTACTCTCACAAAACAGATTCATAATTATAATTTATAAAGTTAGAGAGAGGTCATTTATAAGGTCTCTAGCATTTTCGCCTACAGCCTATGAATTATGTATTCAACAGGCAATCGACACAAACTTGTCGTACGGCAAATGAAACATCAGTCTTCGGCTAAGGAAGTAGAAGTAGGATTTCTATCGATTAATTTTATTTAGGCGGAAGTTTTAACAACTTCTACTTCCGGCTAAATTTGCCGTTGCTTCAGGAGTGTTTTAAAATATCGTCATTTCTAGTCGTCCATAACAATACTTATGAATAATCACATGAACGAATCGAGAACCGACAGTTCTATCGAAACGATCGATTCGCGTCGAAACGGGAAACTGAAACGGAAACTGAAAAATCGTTTGAAAAACATCGATTTCTGTCAGGAAGAAAATGAATTATCTTGAAAATCGAGTCGAAATCGCCCATCTCTGCTGCTTTCGACGGAGTTATCCACTCGCCTTCGTATATTTCTCTCGAATTGGAAATTCGCCACGTTCGCACGCAGGACCGATAGTAGCGGTCGCCCTTCGCGACGCCGCGCCGCGCCGGTCGCAACTGAAACGGAAGCAGCCGCATTTCTCGCGCGGCGCGCACGCGGTGTCCGCATAATTACGGTAGCGAGACGCACGATTCCGGCACCGCGATCGTAAACGCGGAGGGGTGTAAAGAAGGCGCCTGTTTTTACCGGCCCGTTTCGTTTCCCCATCGACGGCGCTTTATCGGCAGTTACCGGCAGCGTGCTATTAGCGCTGCCTCTCCGTGGATTTCTCGTCTCTTACCGAGCTGCTGCGCGCCGATTGATGCTGATAGAGAATGCCCGGCTATCGCGCCCGTTCGATTAATCCACGATCAAAGCGAGTCGCCTTCGACTCTTATCGCTGATGGACTTCTTCTCTTTTCCTCTCTCTCTCTCTCTCTCTCTCTTGCTTTCTTCGATAGAGGATCGATTTTGCGAAGGCCACCGCGTACTCTTGGCGTGCTCCTCGCAGGCGTCGGTGCGTTCGACCCTGAAGACGCACATCAGGCGCCTCCGCTCATGTTAGGTCGCGTTCGCAGCGGGCAGAAGCAGACTGTACGCAACTGTTGCGTAATCTTCCGCCGAGCGTCTCCTATCGGTCCATTAACTTCCGACATATTACTTAAGTGGACGCTGTTTCTTACTAAAAATACTAAAGCATACGGGCGTGCTAAAAATATACGCTTGACGTGTCTCGAGCGGCGATCTCGGATCTCGTACGTAGACGTAGCTCTTTCATATTCTTGGGGCCAATATTTTTTCCGGCAGTTGAACTATTTCGCTACTTTACGCTTCGTGCGAGCGTAATTGACGAGTGTGCCCGGAGACGTTAATGAAGACTCGGCTGCCCATTGACATTCACCGAACGCTCCTCTGTTTGTCGTCGGAGAGTACTCGTGTCGATTCATTTGCGACAACTCGTTACGCGACATCACGTATGCATTCGTGCCACGTGCACACATGATCGGTGCCCAGTGCAAGGCACACATGTGCGCCTTGCAGCAGCAGCAGCAGCAGCAGCAGCAGCAACAGACGGGGGATGATGACACGTGAACGTACCGCGGCGATTTCGTTTTTGTTCGGGGAAATCCCTACGAATTTCGCGCTATTGATCCTATTGGTACGGCCTGCTACAGTCGCCACCGCTCGTCGATTATTCATAGCGCCGGATGTAGAATCTCCGATTGTGTCGAGGTGTATTCCGGGGTAATATATCGTTGTCGATAAAGCCGACGGCGAGTAAAAGTCTTTCGTTCGTTCCCTCCGGAGGGAGGACTCTTCCTCGAGAAGCGATTTCATATCTCGGGGAGCCATTTAAGTTTAATTCATGCTCTCGCGGTCGCGATCGTGCCGCGCCGAAGGTTCGCACGCTGCGCGCGCGCGCGCGCGCACGCGCATACGCGGGATAATGTCGACGATAATAAAATTTTATGTCACGAAACTCACGTAATAATACACGTGCTTTTTTGCCACGCTGAGAGCAAGGAATAATTGACGTTACTGAAATCATAGTTATTTTTAGCGCCAGCTACATCTTCTTGTTATTCGGGACGAAAAAAAGTAGCAATCACAATGTACATGTACGGTTATATTATCGCTACGATAATTCTTATTATAAAAGTGGTTTTTTTCGGATATAATTCTTTCGCCTTGCGATTACA